TCAATATTTCCGATTTAAGGCATTTCTCGGTGTTGTGAGTGCCGAAACCGGTAATTGTGAGCCAGGGACCCCATTTTGGCTATCTCAACTCAAATCTAATGTTGAGGTGGGAAGGTCCCTTTAACCCGCGCCCCCGTGAGGTCTGGTATCTTCCAGGTCCTGTTGGGGGGGGGGGGGAGGCAAAGGGCACCCATCGTATCTCCGGAACCAATAGTTGGATCAGAAAAGTTCAAACGGCATTCGAATGAGCTTATTGAGATGCACCATAAATTATATCGATGACCTCGATATTTGGCTGTGACGTCACAGGGAGGCCTAAAAAAAATCAAATATGTATGATGACGAGAAGTCGGTCGTAAAAAAAAAGAAATCTAGGTTTCTAAAATGAGCCTGGGTATGATGTATATCACAGATCTGAAATGCGGATGGTCATCTGAATGGATGATGACCTGTGACCTAACAAGAAAGGTCTGCCTCGACCAATCAGAAGACACTTGCGGGAATCGTATTGAGTGGCATGCTGAATAGTGAATGTTCTAGTCTTTTTGAAGACATGTCATACACTACGTTTCCATGACACGTCTAAATCGATTTAGCGAAATTTCACGTGCGTTTTTCTCGGAAACTATTTCCCCTATGCCAAAAATGAGCGTAAATATGATTTTAGCTAGCACCTAATCCTATAATTAGGTACATTTTTACATTATGCCTAAATGCTATGATGGAGCCAATCCATTTTTCATAATCGGCTTAACCCTCGCCCGCACATGGGGGGGTGGTTGCCACCCCCCAGGCAGTCTTTATGCTCTGCACTCAACATTTTTAGAGCTAGAAGGCTGATTTTTCGTATAGCTGCTCGTCTATCCTTTCTTGATGTCCACTAAAAATTTCAAGTTTCTGTGATTTTTGGTTTCGGAGATATGACCCTGTTTTTCAGGTCATGTCATGACCCAAATGGCCAATTCTCAACATCTTGCGTTTGCCATGGGCCTTGTGAGCTTTTGACACCCTGATTTCGGCCTTTTTTGCCAGTCTTACCTCCCACCTATCATGGAACATGTTGTTCGACGATGTACAGGGGTCAAGGTCAGGGTCAAGGTCAACCTAGGTCATCTAAGATAATTGCGTTTTAGGCAAGCTGAATTTACTTTTTGTGAAGTTTTTTGACTGCATTTTTGGTAAAAGCTTCTCAGATCATGATTTCATGTGATATGGACCCAAAAACAATCGGTGCACACATCAGTATAGACACAGACACACACAGACATACAAACACATATAATTGACCTTGACCTAACTTGACCTGAAATGACCTCAGCAGCAAAATTCTGGTCGGATAGTGTGACAAAGAGGTTCTAGCTGGCTTGGCACCAGAAAACAGCATCGTCATCGGTATTTGATAAGCAGCGCACTTGATATCCAACGGTGACCCAAAACAGCAACATTTTTTAGTTTGACCTGACCTGGAAGGTCAATGACTGACCTGAGAAGGTAAAACTGGGTATCATTGGATTCGTCTCTTCCCAAAGAATCTTTTTGGTCTTTACTGCTAAGCTCTATCTCCAACAGGAACGAAATGGCGCGGGGGGGGGGGGTGGCAACCACCCCCCCCCCCCCATGTGCGTTCTAGGATGGGAAAATGGCATGTGCGGGCGAGGGTTAACTTGTGCCATGGAAACGTAGCCATAGATATGCAGCAGCAGTAACATCCTCTTGACCATTTTTCTTGGACCCATGAAGTATGACGTCACAGGAAGGTCACAATGGTCAAATTGCACCGGTTTACAATGACAAATATTTTATTACATAAAAGTGACTCTTATCACGTAAAAAGGAGGCCATCGTTCATATTTAGTTTTAGTCTTTCAAATGGCTATATCTCTGACAGTTTAGATATATTTTATTGATTTCTTGCATGTGTAAGGGCAGTAAGTGTTCTCTGACACTTATTCCGTTTTTAGATTTTCTTTCACTTTCAAAAAATATCTCAAGAATGCTAAATTTTGGGTTAAAAAATCTCCAGATCTTGACATGTAGGTATATTTTGGAAATTTCAAGACAATCATTTTGTTTACAATGCTTTTTACCTACGGTTAAATGTTTACCTACGGTTAAATGTTTGAGTCTTTAGCTTGAAAGTCTCATATTCTGCGATTTTTCTCCGTGAACAACTTTTTCAACCAAAAATGACCGAACATGAACTCAGTTTGAACTCAATAACTCGTGACCTGAGATGACCTAGGACCTATTGTTTTTTTTCAGGAGTTGCGTGCAATTGATATCCAAAGAGGTACTGTAAACGGCGAGTCGAAATTCCCAACCGTTTTTGAGTTATCTGCGAAAAACACATTGGACTTTTCGTCTCCCCCCCCCAAAAAAGGGTCGCGGGTTAATACTAGTATGTTTGATTCGGCACCTTTTTATGTGACACATTTTCTGCACCCTCAAAACTGTAGGTTTGACAGCTCTTCCTCAACACTTTTTTTTCAAAAATGTTATAACTACCTTGTGTCATTTTGACGTAACTTGCCGCCAACCTATTAAAGCTTTTTAATAGTCACAAAATGAGAAATAGATTTCCGCTGGGGTCTTAACCCGCGCCCCGCTGGGGTCTGCCGAGTAACGCGCCCTGCGGGGGGGGCAATTTGCCCCTCCCCCCCCCCAGATCTCGAGAGCCATGCTACATAGCGACAAGCGGCAAACGGTATTGGATAGCCCCAACAGGGAACTACCTTGTAACCCAATTTTATTGACCTAGATCAAACCGATGACGTCACAGGTCAGGTCAAATGTCGAATTTTCACCGTTTACAGGCATTTCAAGAAATGCGTTGTAAAATCGAGTAAAATGCATTTAAATGAAAATCATTGATGGGGAAATGTTCGTCAAACACATGTTTTGCTATTTGAGGTCGCTGATACCGGGTCAGGTCACAGAGGTCAGGTCACTGGGGGTCACAATATGAAAATGTCATGTGATGCATGTTTTATGGTCCATTTTATATGCCAGATACGATTATGTTGGTCAAGCATCCTTTGGGGTCAGTTTATATTATGTTCCGGTGAAGGAATTTGCGGCCCTGGTGGCGCAGTCGGTTAGGGCGTCGACCCGCGGTGCGGGCGGTGCCGGATTCGGGTTCGATTCCCGGTTCCGCCCGTTCCGCGGGCGTCGTCCCCGGCTGTGTCACCAGGTGTGGGGTAGGCTCCCACTTCAGCCGTAGCCTGGGGGGTGGGGGAACGAGGGCCAGGAGGAGGAGGAGCCCTCCTGTAAATGGGCCATAAGTGCCCGTTGGAGGGAGGCCTGAATAAAAAAAAAAATAAAAATAAAAAAAGGGTCAGGTCAAGGTAAGGTCAAATTAGGTCAAATTTCAAATTTGATATTTTTGCATTAAGTGGGTATTTATTCGATGCAGCTCGTCACGGGGAGTTCAATGATGGTTTTTGTTTTGCGCTACGTCATCTAGAATTGCTACAAACTGAGTGCAAAAATATGACGTCATCAATTTTGAACAGTTTTTTTGCTCTAACTTGGCCAAAAAAGGAGGTATCGATCTAAAATTTGGTATGGATATAGAAGAGTGCAGGAAATATCACATATATTCCGTTTTTTCGAAATTCGGAAAGTGTTAGGATTTTTTAGGTTTTTCTAAAAAAAACAATTTTTTGAATTTATGGGGGCAAAATCCCAAAATTTTGAACATCTGAGGTAGCAGTTATGTAGCGCTGTTTTTTTTCTACATGACCATATAAAGAACTTTGAAATTGCTTGGTAACTGTAGCTTTTGTGAGCGTTTCAATATTTCATGTTTTTTGCTCATTTTTGCTCGAATATGACCTCAGTTTGACCTCAATAGCTCCTGACCTAAGGTGACCTAAGATTTGAAATTTTGTGTGAAGGTGTCAAATTGATGCCCGGGAAGGTACAGAAAATTTGGTGCCGCTGCGCGCCGCCGTGTTCTTGCTATTCAGGAAACACCACAGGGAGGGGGGGGGGGCAAATTGCCCCCCCCCCCAGCGGGGCGAGGGTTAAAGGTTTGGTAACGATATGTGATTATATGTAGTACTTTAGGAGATATCGACAGAAAGAGAGAGGGGCCGTTTCTGTTGCCCCGGGGCGTGGGTTAAGATGTTGATTTCATGTCCATAATGGGTCAAACCCAGCTAGGCTACGCAGTCCGTCGAAGGCGGTCATGCTGCACACAGAAAAATATTAACACCGTTAGCGGTGTAATTGCACTGTACATATGTGAGCACTTGAGGAAAGTTAATTTAGTCCCTTCCCCGCTTAAATTACTCGCGCTTCCAAATGAACACCAGGAAGAAGGTAATAGAACACTGTTAGGAGGGTTGGGTGTTTTGCTACATGTAGTAAAACACCCAACCCTCCTAACAGTGTTCTATTACCTTCTTCCTGGTGTTCATTTGGAAGCGCGAGTAATTTAAGCGGGGAAGGGACTAAATTAACTTTCCTCAAGTGCTCAGATATGTACTGTGCAATTACACCGCTAACGGTGTCAATATTTTTCTGTGTGTGTATATCTGTTTTCTTTATAATTCCTGTACTACCTGTCCACAATTGATGAGGAATGCCGCGAAGGGAAGACCTACAGCAACATTGGTAAGGATTTCCTCCATTGCTCTTGGTGATAGTGTAGCAATGGAAAAAGACAGCGGGCAATACTAAATCCAGGTGACGGAGCTGACACCAACTACCCATCAAGGTGAGGGGGAGGGGGGAGCGGCTGTTCCCGATTCGGCCGACAGTGGGGGGAGGGTCAGCTCACAGCCGGCGGACTCCGGGCAGAGGAGGGGTAGGCACTAGGCAGGTGATCCCCGGTTTGGCCGCTGTGAACAATGTTCGGTGAGAGAGGGTGACGGAGAGGAGCCGAGGGAGTGACCGAGGGATGACCCGGGGGAGCAGAGGGGGTGACCGAGGGGACAGAGTGGGCGGGGCCACACGCCGGGCCGAGCTGACGAGTCTGGGTCGGTTTGAACGGTCGGTTGTCGGCTGTAGCGGGGCCAGCGGTCAACAGGCGCCTCTCGCACTGTCAGAGCTGGGAATACAGTGCACACGTGCTGTATACAGTGCGCACAGAGACGGGTTCCGTTATGGGCAGCGGTAACCTCCACTGGCCGGTGGTGCTGCTCGGTGTGGCTGTGGGTTTTCTGGTGGCACCGCGCACGCTCTCTGCTGCCGGACTCGGTAAGTGGAGACGGTAACTGGGACGGTAACTGGGACGGAAACTGAGACGGTAACTGGGACGGTTATTGGGACGGTAACTGGGAAGGTAACTGAGACTGGGATGGTAGCTGGGACGATTACTGGGACGGTAACTAGGATGGTAACTGGGACGGTAACTGGGACGGTAACTGGGACGGTAACTGAGACGGTAACTGAGACGGTTACTGGGATGGTAACTGGGATGGTAACTGGGATGGTAACTGGGATGGTAACTGGGATGGTAACTGAAACGGTAACTGAGACGGCAACTGGGATGGTAACTGGGACGGCAACTGGGATGGTAACTGGGACGGTAACTGGGATGGTAACTGAGACGGTAACTGAGACGGTTACTGGGACGGTTACTGGGACGGTAACTGGGACGGAAACTGAGACGGTAACTGGGACGGTTATTGGGACGGTAACTGGGAAGGTAACTGAGACTGGGATGGTAACTGGGACGATTACTGGGACGGTAACTAGTTAGGATGGTAACTGGGACGGTAACTGAGACGGTAAGTGGGACGGTAACTGGGACGGTTATTGGGACGGTAACTGAGGCCGACTGTCAGCACGACAGTGCACCTGTGTGTAACTATGTGTGCAAAGACGCGCTAAATTTGCTCAACCGTGAATCTCTCGAGAGAACTCGTCAGCGGGGGATCGACCTTACATCAGCCAACTATGTGAAAGTGATTACCGTGCAGATTTTTGCCTTTATGATAGGTAGAGGCAGGTATGCTTACTGGTATCATATAAAATGCACTTTAAACATGCTTTTACACATCATTTAATTTTGAACGTTAGCGTCAACTTTTCAAAAACTTAAGCTATGTTATTACATACTTATTTGGTATGTATTACATACCAAATACAATTATTTGAACATCTTAAATACTGCAGCATGACTACAGCTTTAGAAAAAATTTGTTTTCTTAGCGATGTTTCAATAGTTATGTGTATCAATAGTTATAGTTCAATAGTTATCTTTGTGCAATTCACACGTACATATTTAGCTCCTTTGATGCTTGAAGGACGTCAATGTTCTTTCTTATACATATACGCAAAACGATTAACCTTCGCCCTACCACCCTGTCGCGTTTTTTGCGTGTGAATAAAAAACCGCGGCGCATAGCGCCGCGCCACTTGGGTTAGCTTTTGGTACATCAATTTTGGACAATGTGTGAAATTGTTGACCCCAGGTCATGTCAGGTCAGGTCACCAGGTCAAGTTAACTGACTAAGCCTAAAAAAGTTAGCAATCCTGTCCAGCCTGCAGTGTTTGTCAAAAAGGTTTTAAACTTGGTGGATTGCATGCTGTTATGGGCGCCTACAATTTGTATATCTCGGATTTTTTATATCCATGACCTAAGGTCAGGTCAGTGGCGTGACCTTTCCATTACAAGTCAATGGAGAAAAATGACAATGCCTTTAGATCCGTGTGTACGCATAGGAACAGTCCAAATATTTCAGAATTACAATGATTTAGACCACTCGTGATGACCAAGGTGTATTTTTTTGCTGATAGCCTCTAGAAAGGTCATCCGAGGTCATTTGAGGCTACAAACAGTTTTTTTTGCCAATAACTCGCGATTGGAAAGAGGTAGAACGCTGGGGATGGTCTCATTGTGTTTGTCTTGTTGAGACGCATCGACTGATCAGGGCTGGTAAAAAAGCAAATTGCGTCCCCGACCAAAAAATGAGAGCGAAAAATGACCCCGACCTTTTTACGATTCATGTATGCAGGCTGCATGCAACTACGATGCGCGTTTCCTTAGGTTTCATTTCTACATTATTTTTTTACGAGCAGTCATATGTACTAAATTGCTTATCAGACTCGCGCTTCGAAATTTCCAGTTTGTTAATTACATGTCACGGCATCACTCGGTCAGCGGGTAGCGTAACAGACGAAGAACCCGGAAAGGGTAGGGGGCGCTGCGATCGTCAAACAGATGCAATAGGTGTCGCTATTGTATCGGTAGCTCACAACGACGACGGCTAGAAACTATCGACCCCGCATGAATTTACCATGTCCAACCGGTTCGACCCCGGTTCTGAATCTAGTCGTTTGTCTAGTCGTATAGCTGGCTACAACTGGTCGTCAATCAACCCCGCTTGAAATAGCACAGCCGACAGCGGGGTCGGTGTCTAAGCGTCTGTTAGTATGTGTTTGATCATCTAGTTTGATCTAGTTTTCGTTAGCAACTGTCGACGGTAGTTTTGCTGTTAACGGAAGTGAGTTGTGGCTACTAATTGTTCATAACCATGCTGTAGGTATGAATTAGGTATAGGGGCTTTTTATGTCCTTGTTAAAGGGGATATACGTTGTGGATTCAATGATATCTTTTACTTGCGTTTAGTTCCTGCTTTATTTGAAAGTTATTTATTACTGTAAAAGTTTACTAAATGTGGTAATTTTGACCCCGGGTACTTGAACTTTTACTGGTACTGTGTCCCCGACGACGTCAATAGGACATAACACTTTACCAGCCTTGCGACTGATATGCAACATGACCTTTTCCGGTCAGGTCATGACCTTGACCTGAGGTCAAATTTTCAAGTTGATCATTCAAGGTCAAATTATAGTTCATTCGACGCGTCTCGGCGAGAGGAACACGATTCTGCCAATAGAAATGTCGTGGCTTTTTGAAGTCGAAAGTTATTGTCGAAAAACACTTTTCGTAAAAAACAGCTATTTTTGGAGTTTTTGCCCTCTGGAGGCTAAACCGTTGACCTGAGGTCAATTTTGATTATGACCTTATCAAAAGAAGAGTTCAAAAGCTATCGATTGCTTTCATGCGTTTTTAGCTACCATAGTTCCTGAGATAGCGGCATGTTTTCTGAAAAACATAATGACAATTGGCAAATTTTGACCTTTGATGACCTCTGGTGACCCCAATATTGCTCTAAGGTGAAAAATGACTGAAATACTTTCAAACGTACGCATTGAGAGCTATCGACTGCTTTTTACCGCGTCTTTCTAGCCCTCTTAGTTTTTTTAGTTAGAGGTGGGTGGTAACATATGCCCCCCCCCCCCCCCCCCCACTAGGGCGAAGTTGGCTGAGACCGCCACTGGGGCGCGGGTTAATTGGCGCTAGGCTTATCTGTAGAACAGCTTTTGATCGTATCGCTTTCTTGCCATATAGCCATGCATTGTTGTCACATTTCATAATGACATATCGACTCAAAGCACTAACGCCGCTGGCCATATTTCAGACCGTTTCGTCCAAGGTACATCGATCAAAGCTTCTGTCTTTTCCAATGACGTAAGTACTTACATACCCAAAAACGTTGGTTTGCTGCGAAGTGCTAACTATTGTATTTGGCCTATAGCAGCGGCTCGAGGTGAATAGAACTCTAAAGATGAGCATTTGATTTGTTAGCTGCGTTAAAATTGAAACGGATGGATTCAGAGGCAACATGCAAAAGTTTCCTAAATAGATTTTGCATGAAAACTACCGCCAATCACTCTCGTGAATTGTCAATTGTTAGCTGCACCTAGCAGCGAGTTTTCTTCAGTTATCAACGCATTTCACAATTCAACATTGCCTATATAGAAACTACTGCTGCTTATATCCACGAAACACTGTACATATAGAGTCTTGTAATCTATAAATTTTGCCAAATACACTATGCACATTACCAACTGCTATCGGGTCCTCGAAAGTTCCGTCCGCTGACCGCTGCTGGCACCCCCCCCCCCTCCCCGCTACAGGACGACCCGGCCCCGTCTCGAGGGGGACGGCTGACGGCGGCCGGGGACCATCCGTTCGGCGGCCGGCAGACGCAGGCCATTTTCGGGGGTCGTCCGGCCACCTACGACCCGGACGTGCCTTACGGCCAACGCCAGCGCTCCAAGTGGCCCTGGATGGTAAGGGTATAGTACTAAGAGCGGGCCGGCTGCGTTCAGAGGTGAGTTCCCGGCTGATATCTGTCACTTCTCTGTGTGTGCAGGCCATGCTGCGAGCCCGTACGAAAGCCGTCTTCAGAGTGCACGTCTGCGGCGGCTCGGTGGTCGACTCCCGACACATTCTAACGGCAGCCCACTGTATGGATGAAAGCCGCATCAAACGGTCAGTGGTTCATCAGTTACTCAATAAATGAGTAGGTAGTTATGTTGAGGATTATCAATAGACAGGTGTGACATATTATAGTGCATGTATGGCCTAAACTTTTGAATTCATTTTAAAAGGGAAAAACGCAAGAAATTACCCTTTTAAAATGTTTTTCCCTTTTAAATTAATTCAAAAGTTTAGGCCATACATGCACTATAAGGTAGTTATGTACCGGGACAGCCAACCACTCCAGTATGCAATGTCAGTGCGAGCTCAGTTTAAATCAGGTCCAGGTTTCAGAGATCAGGTCAGGCTACACTTCAAATTTCCAAGCTCATCATTCCGAGGAGTAATCCAGAGATCGCGGACCTATTATCTATTCATGCTGAACCAGTGACTTGCTGGCAGGGGGGGGGGGGCGTTAAACTCACGCAAAATCTACTCGCTCTCTTCAATATTTGGATCAATTTTCTAAATTTTTCTTTAAAAAAAAATGAATTCGGGTACTTTCTCGTGATAAGTTCATGCATCGTCACGATGCATGAACTATTTTTTACCAAAAACGCACTTTTAGGTAATGATAAATGGGTGTCACAATAGACTTCTAGCCTAAAAGTGTTCATGAATATATGTCATAACTCATATGCCGCGAATGCCGAATTTGATTTTCGGGGGTTGGCTCTTACCCAAGTGACCTGATCTCGACTCTGACATTGCGCTTAACCCGCGCCCGACTTGGGGTCCTGGATTTCCACGCCCTGCTGGGGGGGGGTGTTTGAACACTCCCCCCCCCCTTATAACTCGGCTCCTGGACCAGGTAGCGATACGCGGAAGGCGGCGTTCGAAAGAGCGCCAAAAATAATGACGAAATCACTTGGTCACTTTTTGATCAGGTCAAAGGTCAGGTCTCCAGCGGTCATTGAAGGCAAAATGTCGCCGATTTTCAGGTCGAATGTCGACAATTTCCAGGAAGCCAATGCATAACTCGGGAACCAATATAGAGCTAAAGCGCCGCGGAAAAGCGCATTCGATAGCCCAGATTCTGTCGCGGGCTAAATATATTCTGTAGACTTACGTGCTTATTAACTGCTATGGAAATTGCTCATCTAAATAAATCGATTACCTATATGATGGACATCGTGCTGCTTTGTTGATGTTGCAGGGACTCCCTTCGGGTCCGACTGGGGGAGTATGATTCATCCACCTTCATCGAAGGAAACCACACAGAATATGACGTCGAGCGCATTATATTGCACCCTAACTATGAAGTAAGTAACGATTCGACCGACTGATCTAATATGGGACGAATTCTTAGACAGCATGTCTTATATACGTTTATGAAAGTTGCGTGTACATACATATATCTGTATAGTGTATGAAAAGCATACGTTATGTTCTCGAAGCAAGCTATGTTCTGTTCGCGGTGCGGTTTTCTGACCTCTCTGTGTTCCCTGCCCGGCGGAGCAGGCAGGTGTGCTGAACTACGACATCGCGCTGCTGCGTCTCAGCCGGGAGATCGCCTTCTCTTCGTCGGTGTGCACCATTCCGCTGCCGGACGGTCCCAGTGGAGACCTGGCCGGAAAGACGGTCACCGTCGCCGGCTGGGGCATCACTGAGCGGACCCTCAGCTACCAGCGTGGGTCACACAGGCAGCGGAAGGGATTTACGACTACCTGTGTGGGTCGCAGAGGCAGGGGGAGGGCTGCAGCCTGTAACGCTCAGAAGCTTGTCCGTAAACCTCTGGTATTTACGTTCGTAACCATTGCCCCCTTTCATAAAAGGGCGTAAAATACTACTGCCGTAGTTTTTCATCCATGCTGCTGCATTTTACGCCCGAACGTTTTCATAAAACAAATGCGGAAAGAACCAAATGGTGTTACCGATTATGGTTTAGTTAATAAATGTAGTAAAATAGGTATAGTTCTGCAGGGCAAACGGAAACATACAAGTGGCGCAGAATGCGCCCACTACTGCTACCTTCTAGTGACAATTTGGTTTCTACCCTTATAGTGCTGATATTCCAGCTAGTGATATTGCAGATAAATTACATGTATCTTTATAGCATAACTGGCCGTTTTGTGCATATAGAATTATGCATGCTGTTTTTACAGTTTACTTGAAAGTAAATCCATTTAAAACTGTCAGAAATCAAGCAAAAAGATCGGCTGTCACATGAGATTTTAAGCATGGAGCGCGTCTATGAGCTCCATGCTGTGCTGGCCGGCTTGTACCTACCAGTTGGTGACCGGCTGCCCCTGTTCCCCCAGACTCGAGGTGACCGGCTGCCCCTGTTCCCCCAGACTCGAGGTGACCGGCTGCCCCTGTTCCCCCAGACTCGAGGTGACCGGCTGACCCTGTTTCCCCATACTCGATGTGACCGGCTGCCCCTGTTCCCCCAGACTCGAGGCGACCGGCTGTCCCCGTTCCCCCAGACGCGAGGTGACTCTCGAGGTGACTGGCTGTCCCTGTTCCCCCAGGCTCGAGGTGACCGGCTGTCTCTGCTCCCCCAGACGTTCCCCCAGACTCGAGGTGACCGGCTGCCCCTGTTCCCCCATGCTCGAGGTGACCGGCTGCCCCTGTTCCCCCAGTCTCGAACAGCGTGCTGAGCGAGCTCAACATGACGGCAGTCAGTGCCAGCGACTGCCGCGATAAGATCCAGCTGGCTCTGGCTGGTGGAGATGTGCCCACACAGTCACAGATAGAGTTGGACATTTTCAGCGGCGGCTTCAGGAAAGACGACCATCTCTGCGCCGTTCCCAAGGAAAATGGCCAGGGCATCTGCTTCGTAAGTTGTAGTAGGTACGAGTGAGTGTCTTAGAGCTCTATCTTCGTTTGTCTATTTGTGCAACCGTCTGCCTTCTCTCTCTCTCTCTCTCTCTCTCTCTCTCTCTCTCTCTCTCTCTCTCTCTCTCTCTCTCTCTCTCTCTCTCTCTCTCTCTCTCTCTCTCTCTCTCTCTCTCTCTCTCTCTCTCTCTCTCTCTCTCTCTCTCTCTCTCTCTCTCTCTCTCTCTCTCTCTCTCTCTCTCTCTCTCTCTCTCTCTCTCTCTCTCTCTCTCTCTCTCTCTCTCCTCTCTCTCTCTCCTCTCTCTCTCTCTCCTCTCTCTCTCTCTCTCTCTCTCTCTCTCTCTCTCTCTCTCTCTCTATCTCTCTCTCTCTCTCTCCACTTTGCTATTCATTTTTGACACGGAATACTTTATTGATGTTTCGTTTCTCTAGCTATGCTAGCATGTGCCGTTGTTGGTTTCATCACTCATTACCGCTAAACTTATTGTATACACTAAACTCCGGCAGGGCGACTCTGGGAGCCCGCTGCTCGAGTTTGGTCAGTTCCGGGTGGTCGGCGTCGTCTCGAGCGCCTTCGGTGACTGCGGCTACCCGTGGGTGCCGGAGCTGTACACCAGGGTCAGCGCCTTCCTGGACTGGATCAGGAACGCCACGGCCATACCGGGCCAGGAGACAAAGACGCACCACTGCCAGAACCCCTTCGTCGCGGCCGACTAATGCAGACACACCGGGAACTGACACGGGTACCAGATATGGCCGATCTGGCGCCAAAGCTCTCAACGCCCATTCCAAGAGCACCATGCTTGTTCTGAAATGTACGGTCAGTTTATGCACTGGGTTATGGACGAAAATAAAGAGCAACTGCGTATATCCACGCCTCCTGTTTTTCTCTGTTGTTGACAACACAATCAACTGGCGGCGCAGAGCTCGTCATGTTTGTTATCAATAATTCAAATAGCTCAGCAAAACGTCTTTGGGTTTGTGCGACGGTCAAGTGAGCGCAATGTTGACTGGTGAGTCACGCTCACGACCTTGGATGAATGACACATAACTCAGTCACCATTGCCCTATTTCGGGATGCCCGTCACTACATATACCCATGGTCTCTGAATGCCCACCCAGGCAGATCCTTCACGGACATCATATTTTATGGTATCGAAATGCATGGGGTTGACATCCGCATGGTCTCTGCCAACGCCGCACGTTCACGGCAACGGGGCGGGCTCAGTAGTTGCGGCCCAAGCCAAGCCAATTGCACTGCAGCTCAACTTTTTTTCTCACCCAGTGGCCCTAACATGTTGGGGAAGCGGGGGGAACACCGCCACTGTGGGAAACACCGGCACCCCATCTGGCGGCGAAAGTATGAACTATAAAGTGTAAAAATCCGTTATTTCCTATTAACTGCACGAAGGTAAGCGTCTTCTGATTTGTGTTCCGGTGTTTCAGTGTAATCGAAGCTCATTGTGGGCATTTAAAGAAAAATGCACATTCTCTTATAAAAATTCGATGAGTTGGGAGCACTTTTGAACGGTCTTTAGAGACTCATTTTGATTTACTTGATTACATCGAAAAATAACTGATCGGCTTTGTCCAGTAAGATAGGTTTGCTTGAACCGTGTAGTACATTCTTGCCGCTGGCGATTTTTGCTTGTGATCACTTATTGGGGAACACCGCCACCCCGTGGCGGTGTTACCCCAATTGAGGTTGCGGTGTTTCCTGTTCGTTGCGTGATAAGTGATGAAATTCCAAAGACACGCTTTATTTATGTTCGTAGATGTTCCTAAGTCGGGAATAAGCAGCTTATTTGACTTTTTACTTTATATTTTTCATGCATCCCGACCAAGCACTTGCCAGCAGTATAAAACTGGCAAACAGCTGATGAACCTATACCTATTTAGGTGTCCATTACCGATTATTTGCGAAAATTACCACTTACCGACAGGAAACTCATTGCACGCGATCTCTGAACAATTAAAAGCTTTCGTAGGGATGGGTTGGGTTAACATCAACACCGGTGGCGGGGTTACCCACACAATTTGTATAGGCGGCAAATATGCAAGGTATTTTTATTTTTTAAAAGTCTTGATACATGAAAACCTTTTAGGAGCATGCAAAATAAGTACCTAAAACACGTGAGCAAATGTTTAACCCGCGCACCGACGGGGGTCTGCGCCAACTTAGTACCGACGGGGGGGGCGGATGACCGCCCCCCCCCTGAGATCTCGAGAACGAAGCAAGATAGCGACAAGCGGTAAACGGCATCGGATACGCACGGACAAGGTCTACAATTTTTACTAAGGTCATTTTCGGGTCAGGTCAAAGATGACGTCACAGGGGTCGAAAAAGTCAAAATGGCGGCGCTAGATATGGAGAGGGTTTTTCTAGAATAACTTTCGAAGTAGTCAAGATAGGAACAAACTAAGGGCATCATCGTGATCCTCTCGTCAATCCGCATCGAATGATATATATGTTGACCTCGAAAGGTCAAGGTCAAAGGTTGACCTCAGGTCACGTGACCTCGAGGTCATCATGTATATCATTCGATGCGTCTTGACGAGCTGAACACAATGAGACCATCCGCGCGGCTATATCTTGTTCCTGTAAGGAGTTATTGGCAAAAAACCTTTGGTGACCTTTGATGACGTCACATGACCTTACAGCTGCCCAACAGCAAAACAGACCTCAAGGTAGTGAAGGTTGATCGTATGTGAAGTCATGTATGGTATATGGGGCCATTCTGACCCGTTTTAGTGGTAAAAACAGGGAGTTGATTTTTCCCCCATTGACTTATAATGGGGAGGTCGCGAAATTGACCTGACCTTAGGTCACCGACATCAAAATTCCGAGATATACAAATTGTAGCTACTAATGACCTAATAACATCCTGCGACTCTCAAAGGCCTCCGACATCTACTGTAGCTCTGGCACGGTGACAAAGTTGCAAAAAAGTGACTTGAGGTTGGGTCATTCAAAGTGACCTGGTGACCTGACCTTGAAAGTTAGGAGGTTCAAACTTGCACACCATGTGTAAAATTGATGAGAGAATAGTCATACCAAATTTCGCGGCGCTACGCGCCGCGGTTTTCCCGCTATCCGCGAAAAACCTCAGGGGGGGCGGATATCCGCCCCCCCCCGTCGGTGCGCGGGTTAAATATTGTAACCAAGACAATAACTACCAAGAGACTTCACACATATTCTCTCATTTTGGCGAAAAGCTTAGGGGGGCGGTGTTACCCCCGCTTCCCCTTCTAAATATGAGTAGACCCAAGTGGCCTCAAATAGCAAAACTAATTCGAAGTGGAGTCAGCAGTCAAAAAGTACGGAGTCCATATTGGGTCACACAAGAAACTTATTACGAAGAGCTCACTTCACACTACACAGTAAAAAGCATGACGATGGTTCAAGCTGGGTGTCATCGGGTGCCTTTCGTGACGGGCAGGACGTTCAGTTGTCGCAGAGTATACCGTTCAATTAGATGTAAAACCGCTAGCAGTGAGTCATGTCCGTTCCTCTTCCCATGCTCGGCACTTCGAGAACCAATAGCATATGTGAGGGTTTTTTTCTGGCACAAACGATCCTCTATTTTCATTATGTACGTTATAAGGCATATCGTTCCGCTGAGCGAATCCACGAATTAATACAAATAATGCTTCAAGCTTGATATATCTACATAGTGGTTCATGCAAGGATTAGCCGTTTGTATAGCGTGAGAGGCACTGGTCCTCAGCTGCGTGTGACAAAAACTGGCTGCTTGCCGTCCTGGGTTACGGGTAGCCACCGTGACCGACCCACGGCCCGCATAAAACGCCGCCTAGCCGAGCAGACGGGCAGTGTGGTCGCAGTGCTCCCACGGTAACCAGACTGAGGACTGAAGAGGCTACGCGGTAACAATGAAAAAGGTCAGATCTTCGGTTTCGAAGTTATCTGGGCAAGCCCTATCTGGGCAAAAGAGGCATTGTACAATGTACATCTCCCTGTTTTTTTTTCGCGATTGTTTGGAACGCGGGATGTTAACTGAAATCTGGGTTATCTATTTAACTCTTGATTCAAGTTAGATCTTTTGATAGGTACAAAAGTTGGTATGTACTTACATACCAACCGCACTTCTCAGGTCGGATCAGGTCACTGAACTATTATGACGTCCTATACCTAATGTTAACCCTCGCCCTGGCAGGGGGGGTCGATGCGACCCCCCCCCCTTAGGTTTATCGAAGATAGCGTAAAAACGGCGGCGCACAGCGCCGCCAAATTTAGCACAGCCTATGGGGCAACCTTTTTACATATGATCAGGTCCGGATGACCTTGGGTCAGGTCACCAGGTCAGAAAAACCGGTACAAGGTCATGGTCAAATTTCAATTTTCTTTTTGCACCAGTTCAACTCACAGTTTTCGACTGATTTCCTTCAAACTTTCTGGATGTGCTAAGTTCACCGAGTTATATTACATATAGTTCGGGTTTTTTGAGGTCACGGACCTGAGGTCAGTTAGAGGTCATTGCGTCGTAATGTTAAGCCTATGGGAAAATACTAAATTCGGAAAATAGGTATCCTACTTGAGATATCCGCTTCGTTCTATCGCTTTTGTGCTTTGAAACCACAGTACTTAACAGCAGGTCACTTGGTGCTTCTTTGTTTGGTGTACTTATCCATGGGTCAGGTCAAATGAGGTCAACTGAGGCCAAATGACGTTTTTGCCAATAACTTGGCACATAATGACGCTAGAGCTAAAAAAAAATGGTGTCATTGTGTTCCTGGTGATCAATCGAATCGAATGATATGCGATATGATGCAATTTGGTTAATTTGAACTTAATTAATTAATTAAAGTTTACTTAAAAATTAAGAAAAAACTTTAAGTACACTTAAGCAAGCTAAAAAGTATATCATTCGACGCGCCTTGACGTGCTGAGTTCACTGGTGCTTTTCTTTTTGCTCTATCTGAATTAGACCAAAAGTTAGGTAATAGGTATACTTAACCCTCGCCCTGGCATGAGGGCATTTTTCATAACACGGCCTGGCAGGGGGGGTCGATGCGACCCCCCCTCGCGATTGGCTCCTATGGCACCTAGAAACACCAAATTTGGTAGGTAGGTGAACCCCCTGGAGTTCTCGCCCCTGTGCAAATTTGGTTGCTCTAGGTCAATATTTAGGGGGGTTTTGGGGGGTACAAATGTAAAAATTTCGCTAAAAACAGGTCAAAAGTTTTTCGCTTATAACTTTTGATCTAATTAAGATAAAGCAAAAGAAAAGCACCAGTGAACTCAGCACGTCAAGGCGCGTCGAATGATATACATTTTAGCTTGCTTAAGTGTGCTTAAAGTTTTTCTTAAATTTTAAGTAAACTTAAATTAATAAATTAAGTTAAAGTTAACCAAATTGCATCATATCGCATATCATTCGATTCGGCTGATCACCAGGAACACAATGATACCGTTTTTTAAGCTCTAGCGTCATTATGTGCCAAGTTATTGGCAAAAACGTCATTTGACCTCAGTTGACCTCATTTGACCTGACCCATGGATAAGTACACCAAACAAAGAAGCACCAAGTGACCTGCTGTTAAGTACTGTGGTTTCAAAGCACAAAAGTGATAGAACGAAGCGGATATCTCCGGTATTTTCCGAATTTAGTATTTTCCCATAGGCTTAACATTACGACGTAATGACCTCTAACTGACCTCAGGTCAGTGACCTCGAAAAACCCGAACTATATGTTATACAACTCGGTGAACTTAGCACATCCTGAAAGTTTGAAGGAAATCAGTGCAAAACTGTGAGTTGGACAGGTGCAAAAAGAAAATTGAAATTTGACCATGACCTTGTACCGGTTTTTCTGACCTGGTGACCTGACCCAAGGTCACCCTGAACTGAAATTTTCAGGTCATATGTAAAAAGGTTGCCCCATAAGCTGTGCCAAATTTGGCGGCGCTGCGCGCCGCCGTTTTTACGCTATCTTCGAAAAACCTTAGGGGGGGGGGTCGCATCGACCCCCCCCCCCCTGCCAGGGCGAGGGTTAAAGGGACCCTCCCACCTTAACATTAGTTTTGAGTTGAGATAGCCAAGTTTGCGGCCAGGCTCAGAAACCACCATTTATCCTGGTCGCAACCCCCGCAGCTTTATGGTGTTCAAGAAATTTCTTCCCTTTACTTGCAGGGTGGGACCAGCGTGGTCCCTATCTCTTAACCATTACGGGAATCTGATGACGTCATCAGACTGTCGAACGTCCGTTAAATATTTGACTAAAACGTTTTGTAGCACGCGGTGGTATATGCTGCTTTGCGCGCAACAAATGCCGCACTTTCAAATAAAGTCGCTAGGAACAGCGGCCGATTCCAAAAAGTAAACAAAAGTAAAAGTCTAATATCTTGAAAACCGGTGAATATTTTTCGATGAAATTTGGTAGATATTCGTTTTTGCTCTTTCTGAACCGAGCGACATCACTTTCATGCCAATTCATTAACTTTTTTGAAGGTGGGAGGGTCCCTTTAAGCGAAAAACTTTTGACCTGTTTTTAGCAATTTTTTTACATTTATACCCCCCCAAAACCCCCCTTTGACCCAGAGCAACCAAATTTGCACAGGGGCGAGAACTTTAGGGGGCCCACCTACCTACCAAATTTGGTGTTTCTAGGTGCCATAGGAGCCCATCGCCCCCCTGCCAGGCCGTGTTATGAAAAATGCCCTGCCAGGGCGAGGGATAAAGGATAACGATCAACGGTTAGCGTATTTTCATCGCAACGTGGGCAGAGAAACAAATAAAATTAGGCATTCATAACCACCTCGGACTTCACCCTATTCCTAGAAAACTGCACAGGGTGAGGTCCATCAGTTTTGAATTTCGACATAATGGCAACAGTTATGCCCTATTAATCCAGCCTGCAAAGCGTTTTATCGTGCTTTCCGAAATGATATATCTGAGGTCATTCTATTCTTTTGGCGGCTGCAGCCCCGTCACAAATAATATCGGTCCCACTTACATCCCTCTCGGTTACTAATGTCTCGTTTATCCTCTGCACTGGTGAAGCATTTGTAGCACCATTCCAGCCATCCAAAATCACCCGGCACCGCTGCACCCTCAATTTGCCTCGTCTTGCACCCCATCGCGCATGACTGGTAGGCCTATTTGCGGCGCCTGGCGCGACAGTCAAGCGGACAAACCTTCCTCGAAGTGCCGCCGGCGCGACAGGCCCTCCGGGGCTGCTCCGGGGTCCGCCGGGGGGTCGGGGGGTCTGGGGGGGGGGCGCCACCGTCGCGGCCCGCGCGCCCCCTGGCGGGGAGGCTCAGCCAGGGGACGGAGCTGGGCGGTAGGAGACGGACTGTATAAATAGTGCCGGCGCGGCGACCGGGTGACTTTCAGAGTGGTGACCGACGGCAGACCGTCGTGACCGGTGAGTCGGGACCTGGGGCATGGGGGACCTCGTGAATGGCTGATCAAACACCGGTCTGATAGCTGAGCACAAAATCTGCCTGCTTTGCTTTTGATCTATTCGGATTTTCATATTTTTTCCATGAATAATGGGTATTCGTCGCGAAAGTAGGTATGTCATAACCCTGTTCATGGTTCAGGAATCAGGCTCACTTCGCCGAATGGCGAACAAGGATGGCAATTGGCAAGGTCTGGTCTGGGCTGCGGACGTAAATTACCCTGGCTGAAATGAACACCTGGGCTCAGATCCCTGGAAGGATTTTTGCCCCGTTTCATCATTTTTCAGACCTCAAACCAGCCAACTAAGTAGCCAACTTATCAGTCGGAGAAATTTCCGGCAGCTGCCAACCGGTAGGTATATTTAGGAGCCGTGGTGTTCATAAAACAATGCTGTGCGTTCGGGCTCCGTTACAACATTCATCGTGTACGGTTCGATCACTTATGGACTTAATATTACTTCAATAATTTGATGGTAACCGACAAATCGTATATGTAACGGAAGTTGGCACAGATTCAGCACAGGTTCAGCACAGCACAGATTCGGTAGGGGGAAAAAAGGCCACGGTAGAGGGAAACCTTTATGACCCGTTTTCCCCTAGAAATGACGTCACAAGGAGGTAAAAATGGGTATCAATCGAAAGCTCTCGTTTACCCAGACACAGTCCTGCAGGAAAATTTCACTTTTTCCCCATAGGAAAGTTTGTACGGGAAAATCAAAATTTTGGGTCAATGGGGGGTCCCCCCGATTTCGTTCAAAATCGGCACACAGGTGCCCCACCACCAGCCGAGAAACTTTCCCCAAAACGGTCCCCGTTGCATTGACGTTTAAGGCCCGTAAAGCCCCCTAGACTCGTAAAATATCCGTAAAATCGCCTTTGTACGGACAAAAAAGTGGTGCTATGGTAAAAATGGGTATCAATCGAAAGCTCTCGGTTACCCAGACACAGTCCTGCAGGAAAATTTCACTTTTTCCCCATAGGAAAGTTTTTACGGGAAAATCAAAATTTTGGGTCAATGGGGGGTCCCCCCCGATTTCGTTCAAAATCGGCACACAGGTGCCCCACCACCAGCCGAGAAACTTTCCCCAAAACGGTCCCCGTTGCATTGACGTTTAAGGCCCGTAAAGCCCCCTAGACTCGTAAAATATCCGTAAAATCGCCTTTGTACGGACAAAAAAGTGGTGCTATGGTAAAAATGGGTATCAATCGAAAGCTCTCGGTTACCCAGACACAGTCCTGCAGGAAAATTTCACTTTTTCCCCATAGGAAAGTTTGTAAGGGAAAATCAAAATTTTGGGTCAATGGGGGGTCCCCCCCGATTTCGTTCAAAATCGGCACACAGGTGCCCCACCACCAGCCGAGAAACTTTCCCCAAAACGGTCCCCGTTGCATTGACGTTTAAGGCCCGTAAAGCCCCCTAGACTCGTAAAATATCCGTAAAATCGCCTTTGTACGGACAAAAAAGTGGTGCTATGGTAAAAATGGGTATCAATCGAAAGCTCTCGGTTACCCAGACACAGTCCTGCAGGAAAATTTCACTTTTTCCCCATAGGAAAGTTTTTACGGGAAAATCAAAATTTTGGGTCAATGGGGGGTCCCCCCCCGATTTCGTTCAAAATCGGCACACAGGTGCCCCACCACCAGCCGAGAAACTTTCCCCAAAACGGTCCCCGTTGCATTGACGTTTAAGGCCCGTAAAGCCCCCTAGACTCGTAAAATATCCGTAAAATCGCCTTTGTACGGACAAAAAAGTGGTGCTATGGTAAAAATGGGTATCAATCGAAAGCTCTCGGTTACCCAGACACAGTCCTGCAGGAAAATTTCACTTTTTCCCCATAGGAAAGTTTTTACGGGAAAATCAAAATTTTGGGTCAAAGGGGGGTCCCCCCCGATTTCGTTCAAAATCGGCACACAGGTGCCCCACCACCAGCCGAGAAACTTTCCCCAAAACGGTCCCCGTTGCATTGACCCGTAAGGCCCGTAAAGCCCCCTAGACTCGTAAAATATCCGTAAAATCGCCTTTGTACGGACAAAAAAGTGGTGCTATGGTAAAAATGGGTATCAATCGAAAGCTCTCGTTTACCCAGACACAGTCCTGCAGAAAAATTTCACTTTTTCCCCATAGGAAAGTTTTTACGGGAAAATCAAAATTTTGGGTCAATGGGGGTCCCCCCCGATTTCGTTCAAAATCGGCACACAGGTGCCCCACCACCAGCCGAGAAACTTTCCCCAAAACGGTCCCCGTTGCATTGACGTTTAAGGCCCGTAAAGCCCCCTAGACTCGTAAAATATCCGTAAAATCGCCTTTGTACGGACAAAAAAGTGGTGCTATGGTAAAAATGGGTATCAATCGAAAGCTCTTGTTTACCCAGACACAGTCCTGCAGGAAAATTTCACTTTTTCCCCATAGGAAAGTTTGTACGGGAAAATCAAAATTTTGGGTCAATAGGGGGTCCCCCCCGATTTCGTTCAAAATCGGCACACAGGTGCCCCACCACCAGCCGAGAAACTTTCCCCAAAACGGTCCCCGTTGCATTGACGTTTAAGGCCCGTAAAGCCCCCTAGACTCGTAAAATATCCGTAAAATCGCCTTTGTACGGACAAAAAAGTGGTGCTATGGTAAAAAATGGGTATCAATCGAAAGCTCTCGGTTACCCAGACACAGTCCTGCAGGAAAATTTCACTTTTTCCCCATAGGAAAGTTTTTACGGGAAAATCAAAATTTTGGGTCAATGGGGGTCCCCCCCGATTTCGTTCAAAATCGGCACACAGGTGCCCCACCACCAGCCGAGAAACTTTCCCCAAAACGGTCCCCGTTGCATTGACGTTTAAGGCCCGTAAAGCCCCCTAGACTCGTAAAATATCCGTAAAATCGCCTTTGTACGGACAAAAAAGTGGTGCTATGGTAAAAATGGGTATCAATCGAAAGCTCTCGTTTACCCAGACACAGTCCTGCAGGAAAATTTCACTTTTTCCCCATAGGAAAGTTTTTACGGGAAAATCAAAATTTTGGGTCAATGGGGGGTCCCCCCCGATTTCGTTCAAAATCGGCACACAGGTGCCCCACCACCAGCCGAGAAACTTTCCCCAAAACGGTCCCCGTTGCATTGACGTTTAAGGCCCGTAAAGCCCCCTAGACTCGTAAAATATCCGTAAAATCGCCTTTGTACGGACAAAAAAGTGGTGCTATGGTAAAAATGGGTATCAATCGAAAGCTCTCGGTTACCCAGACACAGTCCTGCAGGAAAATTTCACTTTTTCCCCATAGGAAAGTTTGTAAGGGAAAATCAAAATTTTGGGTCAATGGGGGGTCCCCCCCCGATTTCGTTCAAAATCGGCACACAGGTGCCCCACCACCAGCCGAGAAACTTTCCCCAAAACGGTCCCCGTTGCATTGACGTTTAAGGCCCGTAAAGCCCCCTAGACTCGTAAAATATCCGTAAAATCGCCTTTGTACGGACAACAAAGTGGTGCTATGGTAAAAATGGGTATCAATCGAAAGCTCTCGGTTACCCAGACACAGTCCTGCAGGAAAATTTCACTTTTTCCCCATAGGAAAGTTTTTACGGGAAAATCAAAATTTTGGGTCAAGGGGGGGTCCCCCCCGATTTCGTTCAAAATCGGCACACAGGTGCCCCACCACCAGCCGAGAAACTTTCCCCAAAACGGTCCCCGTTGCATTGACGTTTAAGGCCCGTAAAGCCCCCTAGACTCGTAAAATATCCGTAAAATCGCCTTTGTACGGACAAAAAAGTGGTGCTATGGTAAAAATGGGTATCAATCGAAAGCTCTCGGTTACCCAGACACAGTCCTGCAGGAAAATTTCACTTTTTCCCCATAGGAAAGTTTGTAAGGGAAAATCAAAATTTTGGGTCAATGGGGGGTCCCCCCCGATTTCGTTCAAAATCGGCACACAGGTGCCCCACCACCAGCCGAGAAACTTTCCCCAAAACGGTCCCCGTTGCATTGACGTTTAAGGCCCGTAAAGCCCCCTAGACTCGTAAAATATCCGTAAAATCGCCTTTGTACGGACAAAAAAGTGGTGCTATGGTAAAAATGGGTATCAATCGAAAGCTCTCGGTTACCCAGACACAGTCCTGCAGGAAAATTTCACTTTTTTCCCATAGGAAAGTTTTTACGGGAAAATCAAAATTTTGGGTCAATGGGGGGTCCCCCCCGATTTCGTTCAAAATCGGCACACAGGTGCCCCACCACCAGCCGAGAAACTTTCCCCAAAACGGTCCCCGTTGCATTGACGTTTAAGGCCCGTAAAGCCCCCTAGACTCGTAAAATATCCGTAAAATCGCCTTTGTACGGACAAAAAAGTGGTGCTATGGTAAAAATGGGTATCAATCGAAAGCTCTCGTTTACCCAGACACAGTCCTGCAGAAAAATTTCACTTTTTCCCCATAGGAAAGTTTTTACGGGAAAATCAAAATTTTGGGTCAATGGGGGGTCCCCCCCGATTTCGTTCAAAATCGGCACACAGGTGCCCCACCACCAGCCGAGAAACTTTCCCCAAAACGGTCCCCGTTGCATTGACGTTTAAGGCCCGTAAAGCCCCCTAGACTCGTAAAATATCCGTAAAATCGCCTTTGTACGGACAAAAAAGTGGTGCTATGGTAAAAATGGGTATCAATCGAAAGCTCTCGGTTACCCAGACACAGTCCTGCAGGAAAATTTCACTTTTACTCCATAGGAAAGTTTTTACGGGAAAATCAAAATTTTGGGTCAATGGGGGGTCCCCCCGATTTCGTTCAAAATCGGCACACAGGTGCCCCACCACCAGCCGAGAAACTTTCCCCAAAACGGTCCCCGTTGCATTGACGTTTAACCCTCGCCCGTATAGGGGGGGGGGGTCGAACGGACCCCCCCCATGGTTTTTCGCGAATAACTCGCGTAAAAACCGGCCGATCGCAACGAAACTTTCAGTACCCTCGCGTTGATCAATTTTACACCCACC